GGATATCAGTCAATTTCACACCCTTAGTTATGACATACTTGCTTATGGCCTGCTTTAACCCTTTTCTATTGCTATAGGTCATGCCCAACATGAAGAAAGGCCTGTCTTCATCCTCAAGCCCTTTAATTTCAACTTTATGCCCATCTACATTGCTTGGGCCTGTCTCATCTCTTACTTCATCCTCTTCAATATCACTATCCTCATTGTGATTGTTTCCATCTAATCTTAAATGTCTAGAGTATTCACTGTCCTTACTATCTTTACTAGTGTTATCTTCACTAGTTGACTCACTTTCGAGTATCTCCTCTTCACCTTTACTATCCTTATTAGTCACATGATTTTGCCCAACACTTCTCTTCAGATTCTTTCTATTAACAAGTGAATACTTTACGTTTTGTCTTCTCTAATTGTTTCTCATGCTTCTTATGCCAAATCAAGTAAGCTTTAACCACTTAATCATTAAATGCATCCTTTCCAGTAAATTAAAAAGCATTAATTTCCTCAATCTCGCCTCCCCCTCTTTGACTCCCTTCTGTTCATTGTCCCCCTTAGCATCTGAGCTATCAAATTCTCTCTCAAACTCATAGTTCTCGTCAGAGACTTCCTTGACACTCCCATCACTTCCTAATCCCTTTGCTTGACTTGAATCACTTACCTTTACATCTTTCTCTAATTCCAAGTCCTCACGTGCAAATCTTTTATTGGTTTCTTCAACCATTTTTATTGCATTGTCTACTAATAAAAAGTACTCCTCCATACTCAACTTATGCGGACTTCCATTAATGCCACTATCACCAGTGCCAGCATTGATGCTACTGTCAGATGCCTTGTTACAATTGGGACCCATCTTTCTAATAACAATTACTGGCATAGACTTAAAGGCTTATGCGAGAAATCACTGTGTGAAATTTATAGATTTCTTACCTTGACTTTCAATGCAATTCTCTGCACACCGATTAGATTTCACATATGTCATCCTCTCCTTCTTGCTCGCGTAGATTGTCTCTTCTACTTTGATTCTCCTTTACGCTCGAGAAAGAGAAAGAGAAGCAACAGACTAGAGGATTAGGGTTTTGACCCCTTTCGATTAGCTCCTCTACACAGATCGTCCATGTGTCTTTCTCAGCTTGTCCACGTGTACATGGCTGGTCAACCAAATGCATACACATCAACTCGAAGACAAAGCTGTTAGAATGACTAAACGCCAAGGTAACAAAGCACAGATTTTGCATAGTTGAGAGATATAAATGACCTAATGTTGAGATTAGGGTCATTTGTGATCCTTCATATATACTTCAAGGATATTTTTTACTCTTAACCCTTTTAACTACCTAGATTAATACTTCCTCTATCTCAAATTATAAGACACTTTTAAATAAAATCACACTTATCAATATAGTTTATTAAATATATTTTACAATCTTACCTTTTCAAAACAAAAATACTCTGAGCACAAACTTTTAAAATGCCTTTCATTTAATACTTCATTTATTAAAGAATATTGAAGAGAGAATATTGAAAAAAGTATCATTATTATATTGAAAAAATATAATTATTAAAACCTTATTTTTTAAAAGTGCCTTATATTTTGAGAAAAAAAATCTCCAAAAAATATTTTATAATTTGAAATTGAGAGAGTACTATTAAAAAAAATCACATAATATTGTCTTCTATGAATGGAGGGATTATACATTAAAATTTCCAACCCAACTTTCCTATGTCTTCTTGTGGTGAAGCTACAAACTAAGGTTTTGAAAACTAAATTGGACTGGCTGATTTAATTGAGAACAAGCTGTTGGTTCAGTATGGCATGACTTATAAAATCAGTACTAAGAGATCTGGTCAAAAACCTGTAAAACTAGTCAGCAGCCAATAAAATATGGGTCAAAATTTGAGAGAGAAGTTTTAAAAGAATTAATTAATTCAACCCAAGTCTTAAGTATTAAATTTTAAGAATTTATAACTTCAACTATTAATTTTTCAATTTCATTATGATCAATTTGTAATTTATTTTCTAAATTTTAATATTATTAAAGAATAAATAAATTTATTTTTTCTGTTAAAATTTGAAATATAAGTTACAAATTTATCATCATGAAACTGCAAAATTGAAAACCAAACTTGCAAATTCTAGAGTCTAACACTCGAGACCTAAGTTAAATTAATTGATCCTTTCAGAACCTCTATGTCATTCTACCTAAAATTTGACCAATTCCCATATAAAAATGAGACTAATTTTTATTAGAAATTTTGAAAAAAGAAAATTTCAATCTGAAATGTTAAAAAGCCTATGATTTGAATTGTAATTATAATTATTCAAATCAGTGGATCATGAGTTGCAAATTTCACAAATTGCTCCTCAGCCACTTGCCCTTCACAAGCATCAAGCGTGCCTCCCCGGCTTTTTATAGATATCAATGTCACTTCCCCCTTGTCCTCTTACGCTCTTAGCGATGGAGGGTTGTGGGTTATAGGCGCACGCAGAATAACTCTTTGTATTCTTTCTTTCTTTCTTTTTTCTTTTTGGTTGATTTTTTTTATTTCTTGAACCTTCTCTTTTTTCAATATAAGCACATTTATTTAATCTTTATACTTTGTATTATTTACCTATATTTTTATTCAAATTTGATCTTTTTTTAATTTAGCTTAAATATATCTTTAAAAAGTGTCTCACGCTTCATCATTTTCTTAACATCTTTCTCAATTTTTAATCAGAAGGCATCGTTCATGACTTGTATTATTAAACCTATACTCATCAACAGTATATCATATTATCAAACATTTATAATATTTTTTTAAAAAAATTAGACACTTACTTTTATTTTTATTAGATTATAATTACTACATTAATTAAAAAATATTAATTTAATATCAATCAGTTCGATTCTATCACAATTCAACCAAAATTAATATAATATTTTAACCGATCTAATCCAATTTTTAAAATCTTGCTTGATTTATGCGATTCAAGTTTCTACAAGATGCTTTTAACAAGACCGAAACATCTTAATCATTAGCCCTAGCAACCACCGAGTTTCTACAAAAGGCTAAAGCCACATGAGTGGTGTTGCTTGAGGTTGATAGTTTCATCCAGCGTTGACGGATCCTATCTCAATTAGCATACAGTCGTATACTGTGTACCAGCACGCGCTTCTCGTTTCTTAATTACAAGAGGTGGTAGCATGCAAATGAAACCCACAATCCACGACCACTGAGAGCTGGAGGTTTGGATACAGCAAGTGGCTTAACTCTACGCACTTAATGATTATTTTATATGATATGATAAAAATCATTCGATTTAATCAAACAAATGTAAAAGATATTTTCTTGTAACACTTAAAGAGTATGATATCTCAAATTTTTAGAAGACATATATACATATACATATATATATATATATATATATATGATGGGTGATTTGATCGTGAGAATTATTTTGAAATTTTAATAAGAATATATTTTGATAATTTTAAGTATTAATAAAATTCAATAATTGTAATTACGATGCTCATTGAATAAATGGACTTGAACTAATTACTAACTCCAAATCCCTTGTGTTAAAGATAGATTTAGTCCCATTTCATCTTTAGTTCAGTCTTTTTTTTTTTTTTTAAATCAAGCATGCGTTTTCGTCCATTATATAAGACGTTTTGGTGCTTGCATAGAGTAGTCGTAAACACTTACTTAATTTCGCCTCCTTCATCAAACTAAATGATCCAATTTTATAAGATGAGATTGTTGTACTTGTGATAGTGGAGCTCATGATATTTCCCATCATATTATCCTTCCATCAATCACATCATAACAATCATATAATAAGAATTTTTACGACAATATGCCAACTTGGATTATACTCCAGTTGTTCCATTTATAAAATATTTAAAAAGTTTATTTAGTCCAATTTATAAAATATATGTACTAAAAATTTTTCAACTTGGATTATACTCCATTTGGTTCCATTTATAAAGCATGTTTTAAAAAGTTTATTTAATCTAATTTATAAATTACAATGTAGCTTTTTAGGTAATATTTAAAAGATATTTTAAAATTTTTTTATAAGAAAAAAAAGTAATATAACATCACTTTTTAGATTTGTTATATAAGAGTATATTTAAAATTTTATCCATTTTTATTCCTTTTACTTTTTTTTATATTGGTGTTGATGAAGTTAATAAAAATAACTTATAAAACAGACCGAATGAGTATCTGTTATCTTATAATACTAGACAAATAATTCAAAAACCACGAACTATGTAAGGATAAGAACGGGAAGGATGCCACCTACCTCATCTAGTGGTAGCTCGTTGATTATTGAAGAACCAAGGCCTAAAAGTAGTGCGAAAAGTCACAGCAATATCACAAAGGATTCACATCTCAACCGATCGAAGACCTTGACTGGGTTTAGACTTATCGTAGATGGCTCAATCAATAACACTAGCTAGTTATGCTTCTTGCAGTGGGCGATAATGAAGGCAGATGCGGATGTGGCTTTGCAAAGAAACTTGGTTACATTCCATGCACGAAGGCAGAATTCATGGCCATTCACGAGGGCTTATAGCTTAGTTGGTAATACTTGGTATTGTGCATTTATGAAGGTTAATCTGTATACGGATTTTATGGAGGCTATCAATAAATCATGAACATCTATGATAGTAACCACTTGACTTTCAATACTGTGCAAGATATCATAAATCTTTTGATGAGAGATTGCGAGGTTACGTACGAGCACATACATAAAGACGAAAGCTAACAACTGCGCAAATTTCATCGCAAGGTTTGCTCATAGCATCAACCCGAAGTCTGTTGTTTCGAAGTTTATCCTCAAGAATGTAGAAACTTCTTTGTTTGAACCTTGTTAGTCTTGTATAACGCTCCTTTTTCCCTCATCTTCAAAAATATTATTTCCCACGTACTGAATTCGGAAATTGATTGTAATCCAGAATGAAATTAAACCCGTAGCCGGCCATGCATCTAAATGGTGGAGGTCTCAATTAGATACGTTTACACCATGAAGCCGCATTATTATTGAAACGAAGGGACACACGAACGTACACTACGGAACACTCAACACACCAGCAAAAGCCAAATATTACATTTTAAGATTTTGTCACTTAAGCATGGTCACATAGTAAAGATTGTAGTGCGGCTCAAATTCAAGATTCGAGATCTAATGCTTCCCTTTGGAGTCCAGCTTGGCGCCAGAGCATAAGTTGACGTTGGCATAGAGATGATGTGGCCATTCATCAAGAGCTAGCCACTGGTTCACAGGGAATGCTACCTTGGGCCCAGCGGAGGTAACATCCACGTAATCCAAGTACCATCCCGGCTTGTTCCCTTCGCCGTTGGAGGTGACGGTGATGCCACAAACACGGAGGCAAGGGCCATTGCCACTGAAGACGTCGAGGTTGCCTCGCTCGAAATAGTCATGACCAGGTCCCATGACGCCCCAATTTTGGAGGTTGTTAATGGTAAAGCTACTTCCAAAAGAGGATAACTTTAGGCTGATGACGGAGTCCGTTCCTGCATTTTTGCGATCTCCTGTCTTCACTCTCACTACGTACCGGCACTGGTTCTGCATGCATGCAGTCCCGTTTTGATCAAAATTCAGAATCAAACACACACACACACACACCACACACACACCCACAACTAAGTAGGAGAAAAGCTTACGTGCGTGTAATGGGTGAAACTAATGATTGATCAAGAGAAGAGAACGAATTACTTACAGATGTAGCGATTGCAGCAAAACTGATGAGTAGTGAGAATAGAAAAAGAAAAGAAGACAACGTAGTTCTGAGAGCCATTTGTTTAGCTTGTGATGCTACTAAACAATGAGGGTGAGGAGAGCTGAAGCAACTTATGTCCCTTTATATAGAGCAACACACTTGGTGGAAACTTGAATTTCACCCTTCTATCCTATCAAGTTGCATGGGCGGAGTCCCTTGGGTCATAGATCAAATTCATTTTATATGTACAGAAAAAGTTTGTTTTCTTTAAATCAAATTCAATTTGAATTTGCCTTATATTAGGAATAGGAAGAAGAGAGTATGTGAGTTCTTCACTGATGATAATTATAATTTGAAACTGGATGCCCCCACGGTATTTTCTATGCGGAGTCATCAAGCACTAAAGTCCAAAACTTTTAATCAACTAGCTACAAGCTTTTATGGAAAGAGTGTCCTTTATTAATTTTGTCAATTAACTAATAATATCTATTTAGATAAAAGCTGACAATCAAATGGAAGGAAGTCAAGTCTTTTAATTTTAAGGTCAATACTATGGATGGACACCCGGTAATAATTATATAAAAGTGCCAACTGATTATGGATATGTACATGCAAAGAGAACCAAAACTGGGCCGTCAAAACCTTTCATGCGGATTACGTGGTAGTTCTGTTCATGTTTACACCTGTTCTTTTCATCTCTGTTACCTAATTACTTGGTAATGTTTAATTAACTTTTTTTTTAACTTTTATTGTTTATCTTATCAGACTTATTTGGCAACCTTACAGTCGTAGATAATTGGAAAATAATAATAATAATTGGTTCCTATGGTATCATAATGTTATACTTTTAGTCTTTGTAGGTTTTTTTAGCGTTTTTAGTTCCAATAATCCCTGTAATTTAACATTATTAGGGATTTGAGGAACAAATGTTACCCAATATTGCTGAAATTATAAGGATTAAAAATATTAAAAAAACAAAAAGACTAAGAACAAAATCTAATAAAATTATAGGGACTAAGAATTGTATTTTCCCTAAATAGTTTATACAATTAGAAGATCCCATCATATGTTTTATCCTTTTTCTTATATACAAATTTTTTTTATACTTAAATTCATTACTTGTTTTGGTAGCAATTATATATATATATATATATATAGAAAATTAATCATTTGGTCCCTATGATTTTGAAAATTTTTGACTTGTTATATATAACTCAATCTTTATAGTTTTAATTTGATTATAATTCAGTCTCTAAATTTTGTTTGTTGCCATTGAATTCTTATAGTTTCAACCACTTAAATATTAGTCCCTATATTTTAAAAATAAAATATTAAATATTAAAAAACATTTTAAAATTTTAAAATTTATAGTATTTAAATATTAAAATTATAATATTGGTAATAAAATTATAAAGATTAAAATTATGTTAAAATTTATTATTAATATTTGTAAATTATTAAACCCTTTTAATATTTATAAATATTAAATGTTCAAATATTTTTAATCTTTATAATATTATTTTTTAAAATATAGAGATCAATATTTAAGTTGTTGGAACTACAAGGATTAAATTGCAAAAAAAAGTTCAAAGACTGAGTTACAACTAAATTAAAACTATAAATACTGAGTTATGAATAGTCAATATTCAGGGATTAAGTTACAACTGAGTCAAAATTATAGGAATTAAATAATTAATTTTTCCACACATATATATATATATATCTTGTCCTAAATGTAGGAACTCATGGTTAACTAATTTTTACACACACACACATTAAGAAAATTAAATAAGTTAGTTATTTATGAGAAAATATGTGCTCGTTTTCATAAAATAGCTCTTTTTTAATTATGTACATTGGAGCATTATAACTATAGCAAGATTTTAAAAATCAGATCATATTAATTGGTTCAACTGAAATTGTCTCTTGGAGCAAGATGACTCATAAAATCAAGACAAGTAAACCAGTTAAAAACCAATAAAACCATGTCAAAAACTCATTAAACTAGTCAAAACCAAACAAGTTCCCATATAAAACAAAACTAATTTTTATTAAAAAAAATTCAATCACCAAATTTCAAAATTCAAAGATTTTAAAGAACAAATTATTTGAATTATAATTATTCAAACCTTTGGGCTATGTGTAGCAATTGTCACAAATTGATTCTCAACAATTTGCTCTTGAAAGGCGCACCTCACCAACTTTTTATGGATAACAATGCCACTCCTCCTTTCTCTTCTCAGCGATGCGGGACATCTGTGCAAGGGCTGAGTCGATATTTCGGATCGAGTTCGATGGATAAGTTTAAATCCACCCAAAAATATTTAATGTAAGAATTCGTAAAATAATAGTTTGTTGATGTTTGAGGCTAAACAAGCTAGCTAGAATATGTTCAAAAAAATTCAGATAATTCTTTATGTTTTAAGTTATTTTATACTAAAATACTGAGTGCATTACTATAGCTATTTTTTAAGAAATAAAAAATATTTATATTATCATATTTTTATTATTTTAAATCTATAAGATAGCTCAACAAATATTTAAAATATATTTTAATATTGAATTTTAGATTTTAAGACCATCATTTAAAATTTTTTTGAGTCCCATGCATAGTTTAAGTATCAAAAAATATATTTTTTAAAAACAAAATAATTAATTTTAAAGAATTTATTTAAGGAGAAATAATTTTAAAAATAAAATTCAAGTATTCAAGCTTCCCAAACTCAAAAGAATTCAAGTCAAGCTTGGTTATTTGTGCTTTTCATAGGGTCGAGTAATTCCTGACTCTATATGGGTGAACACAAAATAACTTCTCTATTCTTTCTCCTTTTTGTGATTTTTGTTGATATATTTTTATATTTTGAGGTTTTTTTGAAATATTTTTAAAATGAAGAGATGTCTTTATGAAAAGTCATGTCATTTTTAATTAAGAAATTATATCCTTATAAATTGAAGAATTCTTACGAAGGATTATATAAAGAGTTATATAGTCATCAATGTTTTGTTGCACTACTTATGAAGAGTTATAAAACTAAAAAGTGTCATTTAGTGAAATGAGTTGATCAAACTCTACACATCTTTTCATCATGAAAAATTATTATAAATAACTATTGGTTAATATTAATTATTAAACTATGTTGGTTCATAAATAACATATAAGGGTTTCATGAATTGACATAAGATTGTCCATAATCCAATATATGTTTATAACGTTTAAGTAGAGTTTTTTATTTAAAAGGTATAATTTTATTATCTATAAATACCTCTCACCATTACACATTTTGATGATCTATCAACATCTATCTATTAAAATTCATTGTCTTTATCTTTTGAGTGCATTGGAGATAAAGTCAAATTTTTAATTTGTAAAAATCATTGTCGTCTTGGTTTAAGTCTTGAAAGTATAATCCATACTCAAGGATCTTCATTATATATTGAAAAAAATTTACCATAAATCCAATTTGCACAATAGAAGATTGAAGCAGCTAGATGGGTGTAACATCTGAAATTTTAATTTAGGACTTTAATTGAAGGATTATGTTTAATTGACATTAATTATATTGATGATAATTATTTACTTGGGCATGTGATTATGACTTAAATTGGGCCTAGGGATATTAGACTTAGGCCCAAAAGCATGGGTTAGAGATAGATGATTGCCTTTGTATCATGCATCGTGACAGGCATATGTTGAAATCTAAAATAGAGATCAGACGCCAATATGATGACAATATGTCCTACTTGGATTATCTGTTCATCTTAGACCAGACAAATAATCATTCAAAAACCTCAAACTATTCCTTCCACCTGCCCCATTTGCATAGCGGTAGCTCGTTGATTATTGAAGAAACAATAAAGGCCTAAAAGTAGTGCGAAAAGTCACAGCAACACAGCAAAGGATTCGCATTTCAACCACGTTGACTGGGGTTTAGACTTAACGTAGATGGCTCAATCAATAATACTGGTCATCCTTCTTGCAGTGGGCGATAATGAAAGGCAGATGGAAGCATGAGGGCTTATAGCTTAGTCAACATCATTGATTTTTTGAAAGGTTAATCCGTATACAGATTTTATGAGACCATCCATGAAATCATGAACATCTATGATAGTAACCACTTGATTTTTAAAACTGTACAAGATATACAAAATCTTTTGATGAGAGATTGAGGGGTTACGTATAAATGAGCACGTGTATAAGTTAATAACTGCAAATTTCATCGCAAAGTTCGCTCATTGCATCGATTCAATTCAACAGTTTAGAAGTTTCCTTAAGCATATAGGAACGTAACTTTTTGTTGGTCCTCTTTAAGGCTCCTTTATCCCCTCTTGGTTTACCAAAAAACAAAAAGAAAAAGGATTCACATCTCTTTTGAGAACTTTAAAGGATAATAGAATGAGCGAAATCAACAGTTCAAAAGATTTAGGATTAAAAGACACTTTGTCCCTTAACTTTTTTTTTTTCTAAAAGCATTGTCCTTCCTAAATTATTTATTAGAGTAATATTGCTAGTCAAATATCAAAATAGTTATGATGTTGTTTTTTGACTAACAGAAATATCAATGTTAACGTACGGTTTGCTTTAGTGCAAAAGAAAGGTCAGAAATTGTAATGAATTATTTTAATGGTTCGTTTCCACTGTGCCCCCGCGGTACTACCATATCATGAATTCGGAAATTGATTGTAAATTGTAATGCCAGTAGTTCTTATCCATAAAGAAAATACACACGGACGATTGATGATACACACGTACATTACGAAACACACAACACGCCAACAAAAGCCAAATACATATTATTAAGAGCTTGTGAAACAAGCATGGTCAAACAGTAGAGAGATTGCGTCTCAACCCCAAGAATCCAGATCTAATGCCCTCCTTTGTTGTCTAGCTTGTTGGCGCCAGCGCATAAGTTGACGCTGGCATAGAGATGATGTGGCCATTCATTTATAGCTAGCCACTGGTTCACCGAGAATGCTGACTTGGGCCCAGTGGAAGTGACATCCACGTAATCCAAGTACCATCCCGGCTTGGTCCCTTGGCCATTGGAGGCGACGGCGATGGCGCAAACACGGAGGCAAGGGCCATTGCCACTGAAGAGGTCGAGGTTACCTCGCTCGAAGTAGTCATGACTTGGTCCCATGATGCCCCAATTTTGGAGGTTGTTGATGGTAAAGCTATTTCCAAGAGAGGATAACTTGAGGCTGATGACAGAATTCGTTCCTGCATGTTCGCGATCTCCTGTCTTGACTCTCACTACGTACCGGCACTGGTTCAGCATGCATGCAGTCGCATTTCGATCAAATATTCAATCAAACACACACACACAAACACAACTAAGAGAAGCTTACTATGATGGGTAAAACCAATGAAGGATCCAGAGATCGAAGAGAGTAAATTACTTACAGATGTAGCGATTGCAGCAAAGCTGATGAGTAGTGAGAGTAGGAAAAGAAGAGAAGACAATGCAACTCTGAGAACCATTTGTTTAGTTTGTGATAGATGCTACTGATGATGAGTGTGAGGAGTGCTGAAACAACATATATGTACGCGTTTATATAGAGAGACACATGCGGTGAGAGCTTCAGTTTTTCACTCTTCTGTCCCCAACGTGATTGCTCACGGAGCCCCTAATGGCCCAATCCAATTCATTTTATCATCACGTGGGAATCATAACTTTTTGGAGCTTTCAGGTATTGATAATTAAGTAGATGTAAACATCAGAGGTCGAAATAGATTTTTTTAATTAATATGGGAAAATTGTATTGAAGGACTAATTAACACGTTAATTGCAAAAAAGAATCAAAGCATCCTTATGAATTCTTTCCAAAGTTCCTAACGTCACATCTTAAAATAAGATTGAAGGAGTAAAGATAAAAATAACCATACTCAGTCATTTTCCATTATCATGCTTGTTAGAACATCCTTATGTGTTTGTTAAAACGTTATGCTTACTTGTCATTTTCTACATACATGCTGGTTGAAACAATATTCTCACTTATCATTTCTCACTGGCATGTTTGTTATTCGAACATTATACTTGTGATTTTCTACACTCATGCTTGTTAAGGCATTACGGTTGCTTATTATTTTCCATCTAAATGCTTGTTAAAACAATGCACTCGTTTATCATTTTTCATATGCATCTTTGTCAAAACAGTATATCTACCAGTTGAAATTTAGAAGGGTTATTTTCTTCTTTTTCTCTTTCAATCTTATTCTCAAGTGTGGCGTCAGGCTTGGACTTCAGAGAGAAATCAGAATGCTTTGATCTCTTTTGGTAATTAATGTGTTCTAGCTATCCTTCAATATGCTTTTCCCTTTTAATATAATTGTCCTTTATTATCCATAAGATTCGAACTATTGGCCTTTATGAGAATCCAGTTCCTTATTCTCGATCGTCCACTAGTATTCCTTCTACTCAAGAGAGTATTTGAGGAAGGGCAATTTTGAAAGATTGTATTATGTTTAAAAAAAAAAGGTTTTTAATTAAGATTTATAAAGACAATATGTCCAACTTGGATTACCTGTTTACCTTAGACCATACGAGTAATCCAAAAACCTCAAACCATATAAAAATACTTAAGAATGGAGGATGCCACCTACGCCGTATAGTGACAAAAAGTCCTAAACGCGAGCAGTTCATCTCATGACCAAGAACTTCACTAAGTGACCAAAAAAAACAGAGAGTCATCCTTGTATGCCTGTGCATGTATCTATGATAATTTTCTATTCAAGAGAAGATTTTTTTAAACAAAAAAATTAGTTTTGGTTTCGTTTCATAATTAACAATAAAAAATATATACAATAAAGATATAGAGAAAGAATGTGTGTTCTACGTTCTAAAGACTATTGTGGAAATACACATTAGCAATTAAAATACTAAGAAATACGATAGATTATGAAATTACACAGGAACAGAGATATAAAACAGTGGCAGCTCGTTGGTTATTGAAGAGCCAAGGCCTACAAATAGTACGAAAAGTCACAGCAGCATATAGCGAAGGATTCGCATCTCAACCGAAGACCTTGACTAGGTTTAGACTTAACATAGGTGGCTAAATCAAGAATGCTGGTCATGCTTCTTGCAGTGGCTGATGCAAATGGGGGGAAGGAGTCTCTTCATTTTTCATTACTCTCCTCTTCCTTCCTTTCCCTTCATCACCCTTGAATTAAAATTCTCAACCATTCTAATTAAAGGAATGATCTAATATTGATTTAAATAAAAAAAAATCAAAAAATTCACTTTATATTAGAACCATTGAGAATTTTAATATATCCAAGGATGATGAAAAGGAAAATGCTCAGAAAGAGGCCCCTCTCCCATAGAGATGTGGCTTTGTAAAGAAACTTGGCTGCATTCCAATCATGAAGGTGGAAGTGGAACTAATTAATGGCCATCCACGAATGCTTACAATTTTGTTCTCATCATGGATTTAGGAAGGTTAATTAATCGGTATAGAATATGGAGGGTAGGCTAGCTAGTAGCTATCCATGGAATCATGAACATCTATGACAGTAACCGCTCAAGTTTCAACATGTACACTGTACAAGATATAAAAAGCTTTTGAAGAGGATTTGAAAGGTTACGTGTGAGCACATGTACAAAGAAGTCAATACATGTACAGATTTATCACAAAGTTTTTTGCTTATTGCATTGACTCGTCAGTTTCGAAGCAGTCTCCTCGAGATTGTAGAAACTTTGTTTGGAAATTATCGGTCCTTTTTAAGGCTCTTTTGCTCTCCTCTTTATTCCCCCCCCCCCAAAAAAAAAACAAAAGATTTGCGTCTCTTTTGAGAACTTCAAATTAAAGGACAATAGAATGACTAAAACCAAATGTTTTAAAAGATTTATGATTAAAAATGATACTTTTCCCCTTAACTATTTTTTCAAACAGCACTATACATCCTAAATTATTTATTAGAGTGATATTGCCTGTCAAGTGTTAAAATCGTTATGATATTATGAATGTACAAACACAATTATCAGATCTCAAAATGCGAGAATAATATCAAAATGTAAAATGCTCTCATTTACTAACCACTTTCTTAACCATAATTATACTACCATTATAATAAAAACCCAAGCAATCATCGTTAAAAGTTTACTAGGGTATAGAAGAGATTAACCTTAATTAGTTAAAAATATCAAGGGAAATGACTAAGTGTAAATCCTTTCCAAAATGGGGATCCCATTATTAATTATAATTCATAACTAAATATGAGTAATACCCATTTGGGAAGCATGGAAATTATTTGGGGTTAAAAACAAGTCGAAACAAGGTCAAAAGAGTTAAAACTACAAGTCAGGTACAATCTACTACAACCAACATCACATGCATTGCAAGCATGTTATACAGATATCTAATTGAGATGATCCAAGTGTTCACAAATAGATAATTTTATAATTTAACTAATAATTTTGGTTTCACACGAATCCAATATCATATGAACAATTTGGACACCTGAAGTCATTTATCATGTTTTCACACTTATAATTCTCAATCAAGTATCCAAACCTCTTATCATAAGCTATTAGTCTACATTGAGCCTTGAACCACACTAAATACTCATCCAAGCAACATTCCAGACATTCACGTACTTCATATTTATCATACAATCACACTACTTGACCATCCAACAATCACAATTCGAAGGGATGGAAACATAAAAATTTTCATAATCAATGGCGTAAGCAAATATAAGTATTTCAACAAGTTTAATTTATCCAAAGATGCTTGCATAAACATTTAATTTGGCTCCCACAAAATATTCAAAACAAGGCATACAACTGTAGAATAGCCAAATGCACCCAAAAATGACAAATAAATATTCATGGCAACATGCAAGTATGAAAAAGACCCTGGTTGGCAAATATAGTATCCATTATACAATTTAAATCTAGAGACATTACAAAAATACTAATTGTCTCTAGGTTTTGAAGCTTCCCTCTTGCCCTTAGTCAGATCTTCTCTTTAAAAAATGTTAATCCATGAGAGTACGATAATCATCTCTGTAATTAGTGAACAGAAACTTAAGCACATTCAAGTAATATAACATATGAGCATGCAATGTAGGTATCATTAAAACATCATTCTCAAATACTCAAACATGCATTCGAAGCAAATTATGTCACTCATGATTAATGCACCACCTTATTTCCTTCTATGTTATCTCTAATTGGATCCATGGGCTACTAGCATATAAATAGGACTTATCTATATGAATAGATTAGCCTAAATTCTTAGATATTGAGGGTTACCTAGCTAAAAGTTTTCATACTCACTTTTAGACCATTAATTCCCTCTTTCACAAATCTTAACGGTGTCATATGACTAATCACACCATTTCCCATATGAATCTAATAATACAAGGTAATGCTTGATCCATGCCACTTATTGAGAAACAATGACAATACATGTAGTATACATTTGCACCAACCATTAGAGCCACTTGTAGTGAAGGCTCACCACATAGATTTAGTTCAAATCTCCCCATAATGAAGGAACCCTTACCTAACATGTGATCATGCCAAGATGCATTACATACACATAATATACAATATCATATTCTCATTTTTTTGACTTTGCAATTATTCAACCAAACATGCTTGAGGTTCACTTTGATATACATTAAACAATTTCAACCATAATGCTATAGCATATTCACCCACTTTACATTATTTTCTAAAACATAAACACCATATATTTTATACAAAAATACACATTAATCATTTCACAATCTCACAAACATAATAAGCATATACAAGAATTTAAGTTCCCGATTACCTCCACTTTGGTTCTACCAACCAATTAAGTTACCGATGATAATGGAATGAGCCTCCTCCTTTCTCAAAACTCCAATGAACAATTAATTTACATTTCAATACCATCAACATCATCAATAATTCATTTCTATGAATATTTGTCCAATTAAATTACTAACCCAATACTCCCAACTTGGTCATCTCTCATAATTAAGTCTCTAACATCCAATAGCTTAGTTAGACTCTCATTAGTCTAATATCATCATTAAACTACTCCATTCATTAACTCATCCATATCAAATTAGGGCTTGCTCTAAACCCATCATTAAGACCTAAATCAACATATATAAATACTTGTTGACCTGATGGGTAGACACTTAAATAAATATCCAATAACTCCATTAAAGTTAGATTACTTGGTGGAATCATCACCCAATTTTAGACCCTCTAATAACAACCCCATCAATGATAGAAAAACACATAAGAATAGAGTGGAAGGAGATATGGAAGCTTACCCAAGTGATATTTGGCTCCAAATAAGCTCAAATGGTGACCTAACAAAGCCATAGCAAAGCCCTTACTCCTCTATCTCTTTCAATCTCCACACAAACTCTTTCTTTTTCTTTTCATTTCATTGTTGTGCTCCACAACTGCACATGTCGTAACAAGTAATATAAAGTGAGTAGAGTATTGATTTCACAGAGAC